TATATCAATGAATAAAGTGTATTATAGATTGACCTAACTATAGTGTATAAAAAAGTGAAAAGATGACGAGTTATAAAATAATGGGTTACATTTTAAACACTCCATAGTCAAGAAGAGGCGTTAACGTTTACAATGTTTCAAAAGCACACAAAATATAAACATTACAATGAGCAAACAAACTAAATTTTTTGAAACACTTCAATTCTTTGTAAACATTATTAGTAGAATGATCAATTTCTTGATCATTGTCCTCAGAATTCAATATTTTCAAAATCGTACTATGTGATTGGTAAATCTTGAAAAATGTGACAAAAATTGACTTGGCTCGTGCTTTATTGCCATTGTATAGGACATCATGATCAAAATTGTGTGAAAACAGTTCAAGTTGAGTTTATTTGTACTCCCTCCGTCCCAGGGAGAAGTTCCCGGGTTGACTTTCACACATATTAAGGAAATAAAGTTACTGAGGGGTAAATTTTACTGTTTGGCACTGTTTCGACACTGTTTGGCACTGTTTCGACACTGTTTGGCACTGTTTTGCACTGTTTGACACTGTTTTTATGTAGAATAACTTTCCATTTAAGGAAATGGGAACTTTTTGTTGGGACTGCCAAAAAAGGAAATTGGGAACTTCTCCCTGGGACGGAGGTAGTATTAAACTTCAATTAGTTTGCAGCCCAAATGTGGAGGTGTTTGAATATTCCCCTCGATTATTTTGGCATACATCAATATCTCCTTTACACAATATTGTTGGCATTAAAAGATACAACAATTATAATTTTTATAGTAATTTATCATGATTCACAATATATACATAATACTTTTTATTAACATGCTGCAAGCATAAACAATATAAATAAACGTATACTATGGTCTATTTATAAAGCATTGTTTTTTACGTATTTAGTTATTATTATAAAGCTTAATTAAGCATTATCATGAAGATTTCATTTCTGTAAGAAATTTGGATTCGACTTAAAGTATATTTTTATCTTGGTGTACCCATATTAAAAATTAAAATTAAGAATTGATGATGCATATTTTAGCACACGTTCATGTTGATTTATAATTTCTTTACTATTCCCAATACAATATGTTTTATATTATTGGGAGTTGTATAGTTCAACCACTTGTTAATTACTTGTCATTACCATTTATATTACAGGTCTGATTTAGCATGCATGTTGGATTACATTTTTCAAAACAATGCATTTAGCATAAAAAATTTAATTCTTAGGTTCTGGGGCCTAAATTATGTGCCCAATTATGTACGGAGTAATATTTAGAAGTAAATGTACTTATTAATTAGTATAAAATATAGAATGTAGTGTCCTAACGCACAACTAAATGATCAAGTATGGTCTGATGACCTTGTCCTTAACAACTTTCGTCTAGTAAAGTTGGTTTGGTGGAGTCACTTCTTCATCTCCATTGACATCAACCTGCATAATTAGGTAGGTACAAAACGTAATTCTTAATTGGGGCGTTTATTGACCTGACTATGTTACACAATGGGTTTAATGCACCAAACCCCATGTGATATGGAAATTCGGCACATTAGTCCCATGTGATTTAAAAAATGCGTCAAACTTCCTTATGTTTTAATTAATTATGCGTCAAATCCCTTCTGTGAACAAATTCAATTGTCAAATAAAAGAAAAGTGATTAACATTTTTGTATGATTAAGAGATTTTGACATATGTACTTGCATATTTAATCAAAATATTAGGAAAAGTGATTTCCAAATCGTTAAATTTATTTATAACAGGGATTCTGTGCATGATTAATTAAAACACAAGGGGGTTTGACGCATTTTTCAAATCACAAGGGGTTTGATGCATTAAACCTTTTAAACAATAGAATTGTCCTTCCTCGAAATATCTCCCTTGAATGGTTTTATTGCACATATTTTTCGGTTTGCAGTAGAATCACAGTGAAATTAACCAATAGGGGGATAATAAGAGTTTTTTTAAAGAAAAGAGCTTAATTATCATTAATCAAATCGTTGGCTAAAACAGAAACTGTAAATCACTTTTTAGTCAACTGTACCTTTCTATTTCCTCAACATCTTGAAGCTGTACGTAGGTTTTCATCCGTAGTTACTCATAGGATGCAATAACCGGATCTATTAGCATTGAAAGAACCCTTTTGGTAAACAAAAGGCTCAATATCTTCTAGGAAATGATTTTGGTCGCTTGTTTCTGAAATCAGAGAAAAATATGTTGCTTGTAAGAGAGATGAATACTCAAAGTCAAATTAGTTATACCTTTTTTACTTCATTCCTAAAACTAGCAACTGTTTTACTCATCATTTCAATATAATCTCTGTCCACTTAACAGTACCATGGATTCGGTATCCCTATAAATAACAGAGTGAAATTAGAATAGGAAGAAGAAGAAATTGATAATGATACTCTGCTTTGAAGAAGAATTTACACATGTTTCATACCTGCTTGGGAATATAATACTCCCTCTGTCCCGGATTGTTGTTCCAAATTTCCTTTTTGGGATGTCCCAAAAAGAAGTTCACTTTCCCTTTTTGGCAAAGAATTTGTGGTTCACAACATTTCTCTCTCCTCTGCACAACTCTCCACCACACAATTCCCACTTTCTTAATCTGTGTGCCACTTTATTTTGGAACAACAATTAGGGACGGAGGTAGTAGTATAATACTCCGTATGGTTTTGCTATTCTAATTTTTAAGGCCCTTGTGGATCTAGTATTCTTGTGTCGTTCTTTTGGATAAGCACTTGTTGTGATGACAAAATGATATTCTCTCCATTTGATAATATTCTCTCATATATTTTCACACGAACTTAGTAAATTAAAAATGATATTTATCTTATGTATCATCATTTTGCTATACTTTTCTTAGTTGTGTTGTATTATTTGTGTGTTTGTGAATTTATATCAACACTTCATGTGAGTTGGTTGGTGTAATGATATTTACTAATTGTAATATTTGTCCAATTTTTTAGCATGTGCTTGGCATTGTACCGTACCGTTTTGTACTGTTCCGAAACGACATGATGCCGAATGATTCGTCTGTAGAACCGTACTGAACCGAACAATTAGAAACCTCACGAATACATTACGGATTTTACTAATTTCTCGGACATTCCGGATTGCGCCCACCCTAAGTGTTATTGTCTATGCACAGACAAATTAAGTTATGTTTTAATCAAGAGAAGTATCTATGACTCCAAAAGATCAATTGTTTATGCATAGACATTTTGAGATTACAAATACTTCCTTTATTAAACTAAAGTGTAATTATCTGTGCACTAACAATTACAAAAAACAATTACACTCGAACGTGTAATTTAACGCACTTTTTTATCACTATTGAATAAAGTTAAATCGACAAAAAACAATTACACTCGAACGTGTAATTTAACGCACTTTTTTATCACTATTGAATAAAGTTAAATCGATTTTCACAACAGAAATGTTTGGGGTACTTTTGTGTACCATTCGCATTTCTCTTCTCAATTCTTCCTATGCAGACGACGTAGGATTTGACTATACAACTTTTTATGTGGATAGAAATGAGGAATTTATTCTAGAATAGTATGCGATTCATACAACTTGGTTCGAAAAGGATACATAGGATCTTAGTCACATGACCATATGACAGACAAGTCTGAATCATGTATGACACCGCGACACTAAAATACGGAAAAGGGGACCCACTTACAGCACACGTTAATAGTGCGGGAGCCTGCCTGCAGGGCCGTAGATGAGAGCGGGCAAATCATGCCTATGCAGAGAGGCCTCCAAAAATATAAGACCCATTTTTTGTAAAATCTATATAGTATGTATATATAGGGTAATTATTTTAGAAAATAGTAGTTGATTACTTTATTTGCCGGAATGATCTAACTATTCAGGTTATCTAACCAAAGGTAAAAAATCATTTTTTCTTATCTTATTTTCATTCGTTCATTTCCGATTTTAGATTTTTACTAATTTTACTTGTTCAAGTTCAAAAAAGTGATCATTTCTCAATCTCACATTTATTTGTAGTTTTTTTTTGGATTTTCTTAAAGTTATTTTTGGTATTGTATTAATTTAATATAAGGTCTATTTTTGTGACTCGCACCGGATCTCCTAATTTATTGAACCCTTGGCTGACGCCGGATAGTGGCATTGCGATGGTGAAATCGATCCACACCTCAATTCGACAGGATGTGGTGAAACCCATTTTCAAAGGTGTTTGCTAAAGCTAAAAAAGAGACTTCTAATTTTGTTTTAAAAAATTTAAAATTAGTGGTTTCACGTGACAATTTCTATTTAAAAAACGTTTTTCGACTTTTGGCTGAAAACATTTTTATACCTTTTTAATTACACGAAAAACACATATTTTACCAAACACTACTAACTTCTACTTTTCAAAATCATTTTTAACTCAAACACCATAAATTACTATTAATCATTTTAGACAAAATCACTTCAAAGATGTATTTTTTATTATAAAAGGTAAATATATAAATGACAAAGTAATGTAGTGTTTACATGGTTAGCCCCTATCTATCTGAACCTATCTATCGGAACCAAAACAAGCTTTGCTTAGAATTGAACATTCATCAAGCAAAAACACAACTACCCAAAACATTCAACTAAAAGATAAAAAATCTATCATACTTGCGGGATAAATCTTAAACAAAACACGGTAAATTAGGAATCTTATCTGTGATACTATTCCCTCAACTGAAAATGTAGTCATTCTGAGCCTTCCAAATAGAGTAAACAACACAACAAAAAGCTAACCGTATCACCTTGCTTTTTGACCTTGCACCTCTATACTGTTTGATGCACATCTTGACGGTATTAAGGAGAGTGGGGGTATCTTTTGTGATGTTCAACCAAATCTTAATTCCCTTCCAAACTGCTCCAGTGAAAGAGCAATTAAAGAAGAGATGGTTTGCTGATTCCAAATGGTCTTTACAAAAGCAACATGTTCTGTCCAAGTCAATATACAAAAGATTGTCACACGTAGGGGTGCACACGAGCCAAGCCGCTCGCGAGCCACTCGAGAATCGCTCGGTCACCGCTCGACTCGAGTTCGGTCATGTTCGAACTCGAGCCGAACTCGAGCCAGCTCGGTAAGGTGTCGAGCCATTTTCGAGCACTATTATTCTTGGCTCGTGGCTCGCGAGCCGGTTCGCGAGCCATACTATAATTATACATATATTTATATATATTTAATATATTTTATGAATAGGCCTGATTAAAAGTTTAAAGTGGGCTTATTTTCTAAACTCCCTGTAAAATGTGTAACCCTAAAACTATTCATCCGATGAAGTTCTTCTAGTCTCTCTTCTCCTCTCTCGCCCAGACATCTTGTATCGTAACTCAAGTACTCAACTACTCAAGTAGCGATGGCGTGATACTCACAGTAGCAAAAAGCGTCCAAGTAGCTTGTCTATCTCGAGCTTCTCCACCAGTACAACTCGCTTCAATTAGGTATTTCCACCGTCCTCTGTTCTAGTCGGATTATATTTATTATTAAGACAATGAAATACGCCGGTGCAGAGGCCAGGAAATATCTCCTGCAGCTCCTCCGCGAACTGGAAGAGCTCTGCGAAGCAATACCCTTTGCTTTCAGTTTTGGGAATTTTTGGATTATTGCTTTGATTCCTTGTTGTTTGATTGTATTGACTTAGCTTTTTCATAGTGCTTTGATTCAATACATATCATTATTAGAAATTCATAACAAAGACTTTAGGCCTTTAGCCACTTAATTAGAAGCTTTTATGAGTGGTGATGGATAGTCTACCCGGGGGGTATCTTATCCGAGGGGTTATTGCGGGAATAACTTAGAGAGAAGTCAGAGCAAATAGGAGGAGAGAGAGTCGATTTATTAAATGAACTCAGCCTGTGGAGTTGAGGTGTAGATTCTTTTTTACAAGGAGAAATGGGCTGCTATTTATAGCAGCAATAAATGCGATGAGAGGACACGTGTCAGTAATCCAGCGGCCGAAGGGTCACATCAACCGGTCGGCACCGGCAGTGGTACGTTTACCGCATTGAATGCGGTTGGCGGATGCGACGTGGCATTAAATGCGGTGGTTGGCTGTCTCTAAAGGGAATCTTCGATGATCGAATGTGCTTGGCCGAGGGCTCCTTGTGTTGCCGAGGGCTCCATGTAGCCGAGGGTCCCCGTGTAGCCGAAGGCACTGTGTGACCGGAGGCATGGTTTAGCCGGGGGCTTCTCTGATGCCGAGGGCTCGATAATGCCGAAGGCTCATGTTTTTCGCCGTTTCTCCCAGTAGCCTCTTATGCCAGAGAAGGCTATTCTGTGAGTTTTGGGGCCTTCGGCCAGGGGGCCGAAGGCACCCCAGTGTGTATTCTGGGCCACTTTGAGGCTTGGGCCGTTGCATTTGGGCCGGAGTTGTTTCCTGAGCTCAATGGACTTGTGTAGGAGAAATGGGAGTCTATGGACCGGGGGTTCCTGGGCCATATACTCCATCAGGAGTCCCTTACTCCTTTTGCCGAAAGGTACTTGAGGGAAAAGGAGTAGAAGTGTTGATTCTTCCGGAGGCTCCATCGCCTGTTTGGGTGTCTTTGTTTGAGAATTTGCCTTCTGTTGATAGCCGAAGGCTTCCCTCAGTCCCTCACATGCCGAGGGTTTTCTGAAGGAAGTATAACACTTGTATGAATGCCGGAGCCTCTCCTCAGTCCCTCACATGTCGGGGGTTTTCTGAGGGAGGCGTAAATAATATCCGTATGTGTTGTGATGAAGGCTGTTTCATTATTGTCAGTGACTCTGTCGTTGATTTCTGACATTTTGCTTTGCCGAAGGGGGTAATGGTGTATGCACCCGAGGGCTACATGTGTTATTTGTAGGTTTCTTGTATGTGGGAATTTTTTGTTTTTTGGTCATGTGTGATTCCCGAGGGGTGTGTACCAGTCCCCCACTCCTTTAGGCCGAAGGCGTGTTCGGGCTGAAGGAGTTATAATGTGTTGTTGGGTTCCCCGAGGGGTTAGCCGAAAGCTAATACTATTGTCTGCTCGGAGCCTCTCGCAGGTGGTAGCCGGGGGCTACCATCCAATATACGCGTCGAGGAGTGGCAATATTGACAGGCGAAGGCTCTTATTGCTGCCAGCTCGAAGGCGCTATGTTGGAATTCATTGGCTGAGGGCTGTGGTGAGTGATAGCCGGAGGCTGTCATTCGAGGGCACTCCAGTGTTGCCGGAATATAGTCGTTGTAATATAGCCGTTGAGAGAGGAGTTGACGTGGCGTGTTCCCGTTGGCTGACGGGGGGCGGGTGCCATCCATTGGCTGAACCGGCGGCCCGTAATGATGGCCTTTCCAAATCGAGGCCCAATCTTCGAGGCCCAGAGCCTATATATACCCCAAGGCCGAATTCATTTCCTTTGTGTGTTTTGAGAGATAGCGAAGCTCTGCTGAAATTTCTAGAGAGAGAAACTCCAGCCCTCGATCGAAACCATCTTCTAAGGTTAGTTCATCCTTCCGTCCTTGAGCTTTCTAGTATATTTTTCTCCCCAGCCTCTAGATCTTGCGTTTAGGGACTTAGGCCCTCTTCCTTCACGATTCTCTTGGCAACAAAAACCGAAGGATGTCCTCCGCCAGCGATTCACAAGATATATCGAGGGAGGCCTCGGTGGAATCCGAGAATGTCTCGGATGTGGAGTCGTCCAGCACGCAGCCTTCGGATACAAATGACTCCGATATTGCTCAGGAGGTTCAGAGCCGCCTGCGGACCGAGGCCGAAGCCGAAGAGTTCGAACAAGTGGTCGAGGATGAAGAACTGGCCCTCGCGCTCCAAGTGGCCGAGGAAGAAGAGGAGAGGGAGAGGCAACAAGTAACGGTCGCCGTTCTGCCTTTGCCAAATGATGGTGAAGCAAGTTGCTCCCGGCCTCTTAACCCGAACCCTATCCGAGTGGCCCCCGGGAAGAAAAAGAGAATACAAAAGAAGGATGGTCCTTCCAAGAAGAAGAGGGCTGCCGTCGATGCGGGGCAACCAGTTGGAATCCCCGAGGGCCATTCATACCTCAATACCGACGCCCTCGATCTAAAGACAACCGCCACGCCTGCGGATTGCCAAATCACGCAGCTCCTTGTGGGGCCCTCGGCTCAAGTGGTGGAACCAGGTCCGGAGGATCTGCTGTCCAGGCCCCCCGAGGGTTGCTTCGCCGTCCACATACTTTCGGTGGAGCTAGGCCTCCGGTTTCCGCTTCATCCTTTCTTGTTGGAGTACTTGAAGTTCGTAGGGCTGGCCCCTTGCCAACTAACGCCCAACAGCCATTCGTATATATCCGGCTTTTTGTCGCTGTGCCGAAGCCGTGGGGTTACCCCAACTCTTGATCAGTTCTTCCTTTCATTCAACCTATGCCGAGGGGGGGCTACCAATAGTGAAGGCTTCGCCAATCTCCAGCAGGTGCCCTCGTGGAGGATGTTTTCCGGGACCCCGTCTTCCCACAAGTTCTGGAGGGACAGGTTCTGCTTCATCCGGATGACGGGAGCTGACTTCCCGAGGCCCCTGCGTAATCATTTTAGGAGGCATCTGAAAGTTGGGAGCGCAGCCCTGCAAAAGAACGGGGCTAAGCTCATTAAGAAGCCTGAGGGGTCTGCCAAGGTGATAGCTATTCAAGAGGCCACCCTTCAGGAGGAGTTGTATAAACTGAACTTTCGGCGGTACCGTCTCCCCGCAGATACTGATGAGAAGTACCCCGTGTGTGACAGGGGGTATCAGAAATCCGGAGGTTGTTGCCGAAGGCGCTCGTTATTAGTACTTTAGAGATTTTAGTCTCTGATTTGCTTTGATTCTAACTTTTCCTTCTTCTTGCAGGTGAAATTATGGATCCCAAGGCTTTTGCCAAGCTGTCAAAGAAATTGGCCAAAGTGCCCAAGAAGAAAGAGGGGGTCCCGTCCGGTCAGAAGCCTGTGGATGAGTACTTCAAGGAGGCCGAGGCCCCCAAGAAGCCGGAAGGTGAGGAGCCTTCGAATGAGGTTATTGCCAACTCCGGTGCCGATGCCGGGGGCTCCCAGGCTGGGGAGCTTAAGCGCAAAAATGCCGGGAAGGGCGCCGCGCCTCCGGAGAAGAAGAAGAAAGGGACCGGGGGGAAGAAGGATGCCCCCTTGGTGATCCTCGATGCGCCCCCCACATTTCAGCCTTCGGCATCCGTCCCCCTGGAGGATCTTGGCGAGGGGGCTTGGCCCCAGGAAACCGTGCAGTTCTCCTTCAAGAAGGGGACAGCTATTATGCACGGCACCCTCGATCCGAGGGAATTTCTGAGGGGTGCCACACCGCCGCTGGACCGGTCCACCCTCGGCCGTTTTGAAGATGAGGCCCTCGAGCTCAAGGCCCTACAGGCCTCTGTTTCGGTAAATCCTGGAACCCTTTGTCATCTTTATCCTTGTGTCCTTCCCCTTGCACGATTTAATGTTGGGTGCCCCTTTGCGTCTGCAGGCCAGTGTGGCCTTCGGGGAGTATGTCCGGAGGATGGACCAGATGCGCCGCAAGAAAGCGGAGAACGATGAGGCCCTCAGGAAGCTCATCTCTGATCATTCTGAGGCCATCAGGTATAGTGCCGAGTTGGAGGCGGCCCTGAAGCAGGACGGGGAGAAGCTGAGAGTGGCCAAGGAGGAGGCCCGGGCTGAGGGCAAGGCCGATGCCGAGAAAGCCGCCGCTGAGGCCGCTAATCTTGCGGCTGAGGAAGCCGAAGCCGCTAAGAAGGAGGCGGTCACCAAAGCTGAGAAAGATGCCCTTGATGCCTTCAAGGCTGAAAATTGGAAGTCCGAGGAGCATCAGTCATGGGTGGCCTCGGTGGTGGAGGCGTCGGCAGATACCTGGGCGAAGGGGCCCGGGGCCATGTGGTTGGCGCTGAAAGGCAAAAGTTTTTACGAGGGAGCTCAGTACTTCACCCAAGCCCTGATCTACCGTAAGCTGGCCCGGCACCATGGTGTGGACCCGAAGGAGTTCTAGCCCGAAGCCTACGGTCTCCCCCCGCTCCTACCGGATGTGAGGATCCCCTTGCCCGAAGGTGAAGAAAGGGAGCTGCTCGAGGACTCGGAGCTGGCCCGATGTGATTCAGATGATGAGGAGGCTGAGGACGATGCGGCTTCGAGGCCGAAGGAGGATGCACCGGGAGGAGCCCAAGCTTAGAAATTTATGAATTTTATCCATGTAATGGCTTGTAGCCGTCGGCTTCGGCCTCGCCTTGTAATGAACACCTTTGTACTTTGAATTCTTATGGCGATTAATGTTTTGCCTTCGGGCTTTTTCTGAATGAATGCCCCCTGTGTCTGATTTGTGTTTGCCTTTACTTGAATGAATGTATGTTTTCTTTTTCTTTTGCCTTCGGGATTTGTAACCCCCCGGTTGTATTGTAAGATCACCGAGGGGTTGTTGTCGTGGACTTAGGAAATTTTCTAAGCAAAAACTTTGTCGTGAGCCCCCGGCCGTAGCTAAGGAGCACCGGGGGAATTGAAGCTGTG